CATTCTCTTTAATTTTTTTTAAGGTGAAATCAGTACACAACATCCACATTCAGAACCACATCGGGCAGGTATGTACCCCTTAGATCCTGCTCTTCATTCCTTTCTAGCAAACAAAACAAAAAAAAAAACTGACTTGGAAATTCTTTTGTATCATTAAGAGGTTGTATGGCGTCCAGGCAAGCAGTCCGACAAAGTTGACTACGGTTATTTTTAGTTGATTTTTTCTTTTACAAAGTTTTACTAGTCGGCTGGACCTGAAGAGAGTAGAGATTACTGTAGATCTTTTATCTTTTTTCATTTCATTAAAAAAGAAAATTAAAAACGCTCAAAATGATTAGTTAACAAGGCATACAAAAATGTGGAAAAAAGGGGAAATGAAAGATTGGACTGAGGTACCCTGAAGCCTGAGGTAGATCACAATACTGACATGCGCACTGTTCACATCCCGACCACAAGTTAACGCGGTGGTTCACTTTTACTGCTTTCCTATTTTTTCAGGTTTTTATTCATTATATTATTATTCATAGTCTAGTTTTTGTTTTAGTTTTTTCAAGAAAATAAACACTTCCCTTCAAAATAATATGGCAGTGTCCCACTGAGGAAAAAAAGAAAAGGACTTTGTCTTCTTTTTGTTTCTTATCAATAGCTCTCATGACAAAATAGGAAAAAATAGATTCATAAATATTACTCTCTCTTTTTATATATATATACACACGCACGCGCACACACACACACACACACACACACACACACGGAGGAAGCTGTGCGTATTGGCAATAACCTTGCGTCTGGAAGATGAAGCTGATGGGTGATGTATGAAAGGTGACAAAATAAGGCAACAAGCTTCTATGTTCTTCAAAGTAAAGCACAAAGGGACACCAGGACCTGCGTGTCCAGCATGCCCGCAGAGCAGGCGGCCAGCTCGCCAAAATAAATTTTTTTTAATTTAAAAAAAAAAAAAAAAAAAAAAAAAGCGAAAACAACAGAGAGCAAGAGGATGACAATCTGTGTGTCGTGTGCCACTGGCCTGGCCTGCTGGACACGGCAAGGGTGATATCTGTATTTTTTTTCTAAAAAGGCTGCATTTTGTACATTCACAGCTGTCATGCCATTTTTAGAAAGCTCCCTGACAAGAGAGGGTTAAAGCCAAACGCGGCTGCGGCTGGTCGTGTACCACAGGTCATACAGCGCCTCCCTTAAAATCCAACCTCGCTGCCACCCCACACACCAGAGGTCTGCACCCTGCCTCCCCCTAACCCTCCCAACCCTGCCCCGAACCCTGTCCCCCTCCTTTAACGGGCCCTCAGCTCACATTCTGTGCTGGCCCTTGCAACGTCCTCATAAGGCCAAGCGTGTGGCGGCGCGCGTCCGAAGAAGACCGGTTAACAGGCGAACGCGCACCGCTCGTTAAGACGTCGGTTTTTGCTCTGATTGAAGAGGAGACGACGAGCGTGAACACAGACGACGTCTACTGCACAGCATGACAGAATTTTACTGATTACAAAAAAAAGAAAGAAAAAAGAAAAATCCCTCAGTTGCATTTAACCTCTCTTGAGCAAAAGTGGCAGTCAGTTCAAGGTTATCAAAAAGCTATGGAAAGTTTTTTTATCCCTTTTTTTTTTTTTTTTAAAAGAAAAGACCCAAACAAAAACAAAAAATACATTGTGTCCAATGAGAGAGAGTGATGAGAAGTGAAGCAGAAATTAGAAGAAAAGAGAGAAAAAAAAAAAAGCTTAGTATCAGATATGAATGGTGAGATATATTTGAAAGGGACGTTATCTTTTGCGTTGGCACACACACAGGCTTGTTACAAAGACTCAGAACCATTCACCTTATTTACTTATAGGGGTTTTCTTTTCAAATTTCAGTGGCCTAAAAATGGGAACAAACAAGGGGAGGCTGTCAATCAATCGATTACTCAGTCAATCAATCTCAGGTACAAGCAAAATACTAACACCAAGCTCTACTGTCATTTTGATGAATAAAATAACAGAGCATGCTCTCAGTGTGTATCCATACACGTTTCTACTGCATTAATACTGCTAAGGATATTTGATCTCACAATCTAAATATCTCAAACACGCGTGAGAGAAGGAGTCCGCTGTCGCTGGCTCTCGCTCTAACCCAAAATATCAATCACAATGCCTCGTACACACTCGTGTTAAAATAGAGTTGCATTTTCTCTTTTTCTTTTTTTTAGGCCTATGTTAGTCCAACTAAAGAGATAACGTTATGCAGGGCGACAAACTAGTTTTTTTTAAACCGTGAAGACAACAGTTCCCAAATTTTCTGCCATTTCCGCCTTTCTTGTAGGTATTTTTTTTTTTTTTTGGTCTTTTTATTTCTTTATTAATTTTTTTTTTTAGCTTCAGTACAATTTCTCCCAATCTATCTGCTCTCACAGGGCTGGCAGTGCACACAATGCCCTCAGCCTTTGGCTCTCACTTGTGTCCCCCCTAGCGAAGTTCTTTGGTTTTGATCCCGGTGCTGCTGGTCTGCCCTGCATGTCCCCCTTGGCCTTGGCCTTAGTCTGGATAGGTCTCTGTTCATTTGGGAGGGCTACATTCATTGGCTGGTGCCCACTGGAGCCACCCGGCTGGTCACTTGGAGTGGTGCGGTGACACAGCGGCGCCCTGCTGGTGCTTCTGTTCCTGCTGTTTGACCTGCTGAATGATCTCCCGGATCTTCCTCTGTGCAGTCTGTAGGAGAGATCAAGAATTAACACAGCAGCAGAACATAACAGGTTCAAGTAAGAATAATGAACAAAGTAAAGGACAATCATCAATAAAAATACAAGTGTAGACAGATACATTTAGGTAAATGCAGTATGCAAGCTTTATCTGAAAGAAAGCGTTACAGATATGAGCAGAGCAACATCCAAAACTGTGTGTGTGTGTGTGTGTCCCCGCTTGTTTGTCAATTTTAATATTGCAGAAAATGCATGAGCCGAAACTGTGCTCAAAAAGAAAAGAAAAATACAATTTTATACCATTTTTAAAGCACTTGGATGCATTAATCTGACTGCAGCTGACTGAGCCAACGAAATGTGATACGTGTGAAAGCCAGTGAACAGCTACCCATTTGTTTTCACTTTATTATTACTAGTTACTCATATAGACAGTTACATAACAGTTACATTCAGCACACCCAGCTTTGGGCTGATTAGATTTCTCCACCATCAGAAAACTTTCGTGTCCAGCTGGTTACAATGAAAACAAATTGTACTACCAGCTGTCTACATCTGCCAAGCAAAAGATATGCGCAGCTAAGAGCTCAGCCAAGGGGGGCAATATTAATGTTAACATCCTCTCCTGCTGTCACAACCATGAGCCTCTCGTTACAGGCAGATGGATGTTGCCTTCTACACAGCAATAGTAACGGCAGGCGGCTCGGCAGAAAGGAAATCCTTTTTACATAACAGAGGTCTGCACAAGTTTATAATAACTGGGTCACGAAAAAGGTTTTAAGGTTTTTAATCCATTACAGGCACTTTGAGCAACACAATATAGCTGCCATTTAGTTCAATTGTATTCAAAAGCAGGCAGACATTTATGCATCTCAAAAAAAAAAAAAAAAAAAAAAAAGGGGGGGGGGGGGGGGTGTCTGCTCACACTAAAATAATCTAGATGGTTTTAGCACTGCAGGCCAGAAGAGAATACACAAACATAGGGGAAGCATGCTGCGGCTGAACAAAGAGCCATTAGACAGAATACACCAGGTTTTATGATCATATAAAAATGTGGACATTACACCGCGTTTTATTGTTTTATGCGATTTAACAATGCCTTTTGTACGCTGTGGCTGCAGCTATTCTTTTGATACCTGTGCAGCAGCAGAACTAATTAGCCAAATAATGAGTATCGCTGGTTTAATTTTGGGTACCTGGCTGGCAAAGAAATGCCCACTGATTTTCACAAAGACCTCGTCGTTCTCATCAGGAGTTTGGTCCCGCGGTACGATGACCTCCGCGCTTGTAAGATTCTGCAACTCGTTTACCTGAAACACCGACACAGACTCCCGTTATCACAGCCTCACTTTGAATTTTACCTCCAACCTCTAAATTGTGTTTAACTGAAACACCCCTTGAAGCCAATAAGTAATTGCAGTAAACACCAGTACGTGAGACTCTCACAGATAAAAGTTTTATCATGTAAACATAACTAGCTCATTTAAATAAAAAGTTGGAGCAAGTCATTGTTGTTGCTGCAGTTTAAAGGACAATTCAAGCACATGCTTACCGTCTTACCACCTTTACCGATGACCCTGCCAGCTGCACTTGAAGGAACCTTTATGTGTGTCTCCAGTTTGACCTCCTCCTTCGCAGAGAAGAAGTTTTCCTCTTTCAGCTTTCCAAATATCCGACCTTGGGCCTGGAATACAGAGGAGGGAATGAGGCAAGGAGAGACTGGGGAAAATGGGGACAAACAATGATCCACTGCTGTTATGAAAACTATTTATGAAGTTAACCCCCCCTCAAAAAATTATTTAACACAAAGATTCATGCACATATGCAGTTTGTACCTTAAACTGAGCTTCTGGTGTTCCAGTAATGATGACCATCCTCTCAGTAACATCTGGACTCTCAGCCGGAGCGATCTGACACGCACAGAAAGACGCAAATCAGATTTCTAGCTTCTGAACAAATTCATGCGGTATGAAATCATGTAAAGCTTGCGGCCAATAAAATCATGAAAAGAAAATCCCACAAATATATTGAATGCAACTGAAGAATCCAATAAAATGAATTGTCTCTGATTGCATAATCTGAAATGTTTCTCTTCTTTTCCAACATTTTGAAATATGGAAATTGCTCCACCCCAGATCCATGAAATGCTGCTGGGTGAATGATGAGGTGAGGTTTATTTATAAAAACAAAAAAAGACACTCGCTCATTAGATTAGCGACACTCCATCCTCCTCTTTCCCCTTTCTTAGTGAGCACACTGTTGACAGGGAACAAACGCACCTTGATGGAAGCTCCGGCAAAGTGGGCAAGTTGTTTGATGTGCTGACCCTTCTTGCCGATCAGGGCCCCGACTGCCTGAGTTGGAATAAAGAGGTAGACAACCTCCTGTTCTGGAGCCTGTTGCTGAAAAAGGACCACACAGAAAAGAAAACATTTAAAGTACTTTTATTAAACTTTACTATTTATTTGACTGTGAAAGAAAAGAAAATGATTCAAATTCAAATTGTCGCAAAAACGGTTTTGAATATACTTGACAGATACTTGAAGAACGGCCGAAAAAGCTGACACCACATGCAAGGGAGGCTAAATTAAGCCCTCTTTGGGTAAACATCGCCCTCTGGCCGCGTCTGAATGGAATATTTCCTATTAGGGGTGATGCCTGCCCTGTGTTTTTGTTTTTCTTAGCATGGTAACACTCATGTAGTTGAGGTTTATAAAGTGAATTTTTACGAGCCACGGGATAACTCTGGGCTTAAAAAGTCCCCTTCCAGGAATATTTGTGGTGTTCTGGTGACTGGGTGATGGTAAACAGGAATCCAGACTCTCTGTCCTACACAGACGCTGACTGAGGCGTTCTAACGGTCTGCTATTTACAAATCCACCTCATTTAGATCTGCCTTTATCTGTTTTACAGCAGGGTTGATGGTTTTAACTCCCATGCATAGAAGCTATTTGCAGAATGCACACAACCAGAAGAAATGTAAATTCTAAAGGGGATTTCACCTGTTTTTGATTATTAAAGCAATCATCTAGGTAGGACAAACAAAAAACAAAACAAAGGATTCAGAGAGGAAACACTGACTGTAGTGCAGATTTGAGGGAACATACTGAGTGCTGGTGGGGGATGGCACTTGCTGGAGGAACCCCATACAGGCCACTGAGATGTGAAGAGTGACTCTGAAAGTGAAGTGACAAGCATGCCTATCAGATGGCATGTTAACACACATGTTAAAAGGCACAGGCACGAACACAAGTCAAGCTCTTTCTTCGGGGGGAATTTCAGGGTAGAAACTCGCAGTGAATCACACACTGAGTGTCTTGACTACGAAGCACGCACATGCATTCTCACACACTGTCTCACGCCGCTTTGGCTCGCGCTCGTCAGGCAATGAGTGGAAACTTTGTTTTACTGACAGACTGACTCATCTCCGGAGCAGATGGGGGAATTCTGGTTGCTTCAAACTGTGTACAAAATCATGCAGGAAGACCTGAGTCAACACTGTAGTGTATTTTAAAAATGCACTTCAGGGGAGCCTGGTTTACCAAGTGTTGGAGATAAATTGCTTTATCAAGTCAATCTTTATCATGCACTTGATGTGGGTAAACCAGCAAAGGCAAAGTCATGCTCAAAGAAGCATTTTCAAAAATAACTTTTTCTTCCCTTTTATGGCCATGTGCTCAGGTAGTCTGTGGGAAAAGGGGAGGGGGGACCAACACTCCCCCCCCCCAAAAAAAACAAAAAAAACAAAAAACAAAAACCAGAGGATACTCACTAAGAATGGGTTGTACCCTGCTGGCGCCACAGCAGGCACAGCGCTACGTGGTCCAGCAGCAGGGGGCAGCACCGGCAGACCAGAGGAGAAGATGCCCAGAGCGTTCAGGTTCAAGCCCGGGATCAAGTTGGCCTGTTGCTGAGCGGACAAAAAAAGAAAAGGCAGTGGCAGAGTTTTAAAAAGTTATCACAACAGAAGACAATTGCTTGGTGTTTAATTAATGCGAATTTTTTTTAAAGAAGCTGATCGGATTTTAACTTTCATTTAATATCCAAAGCATGCAAAACAAAAACAAAAAAGAACACTGCAGTAATCTTGGAAAAAACACAAGTTGAAGAAAGATGAAGAAAACATACCAAACACAAATGACTTAAGCACATTTTAAACTTTTTTTTTCTTAAAGTTAATAATACAAGCAATAAATGACAATTTTGCAAGTATTTTTTAATATAATAATAATAATAATAACAACTCTGACCCTTTTATTTAATCTGATACATTAAAGTTGGTCACAAGCACAAAAAGTATTTTCTGTTCTCACATCACTTCAAAGAACACCACATTTGTGCTGACAAATAAGGATGCAGAGCTGGAGGAAGTATTCAACAATAGTTATGATGACTGAGGAAATGTCTGAATAATTTATCAATGAAAAATATGTCCTACACGTTATTAATTATTACCATCATAATGACATACTCTGCAAAATCCTCTTCATTTATTGATAATTAAAATACTGTTTAGCTGCATGTCTCGTTGTGTCAACTGCCCACAGGGTTTTAAAGAAAAAGCGAAGGAATAAATCTTCCTCTAGGGGTTTAGAAAAATCTTCTACTGCATGAGCTACATTAAAATAAAAACCCACTAAACTCAAAAAAATGCTTGTTGCAAGCTTAAAATTGGTCTGTTTTCTTAACTCCTTAAAAAGATCATGCTCCTGTGGTACATGGCTTTTACAGGAGAGATGTTGTAAAAGCATAACAAAAAAAACAACAACCACAACCCCCCCCCACCCCCAAAAAAACAAACAAAAACAAAAAGAAAAATCTTCCCCCAAAGTCAAGTCAGCTATTCTGGTTTCATGGCCATGAAAAGACAAGTCTGCCTCCTTTCGCTTCCTTTATCCCAGAACGCTCTCTGTAATATCCAGACTGTCACGCTAGATGGCCCTAAATGCTTACTGTAGAGCTGACACTCAACCTGACAGGTGCCAGAACTGCTCGTACCATCCAGAACAACATGACAACACGCTGCGTTATGATTATTTCTGAACAAATATTGAGACTGTCACTGTGAAGGAAAAACTAATCAACTAATGCGCTAAAGGGAAAGAAACCAACTAATTCCATGTTACTACACGAGTCACATCCTGAGGAGCATCGTCATCGTTAATACAGTCACTTTATCAGCATTCATCTCTTTGCAGTACAACAGAGAACATGCAGAGTGTGCCATCATGGCTATCGCTCTTCCTCAGAGGATGACCTCTCAGGCTGCACCGCTGGTGATGTCATTGGGGCAGTGTGAAAGAGGAGCTGGGCGAGAGGGCGGCCTGCACATATCAGGTGGATGCTGGGAAAAGCAGTGTGTTACAGCAGTAACACAGACACATACACAGCGGGGAACTAAGTGTGAGTCAGAAGCTCCATGAAAGAGGCAGACACACACACACACACACACACACACACACACACACACAC